TTCTACAATCCTTTTAACTTATTCTTTATAACATCAACATATAGCATTTAAAACTTTTTCAATTTTTGTAAAGGAATATAAAAATAAAAATGAAATAAATTGGCTCTATCGCCAAGATTTCGCCAAGTTTCCACTGAATAGCCATTATATAATGAAAGAAGCGGCGTTGCTTGCGAATATTACAATTTTAACATAAAATAAATACAACATAGAGAAATATACACGTAGTACACTTCCAAATATAAATCATTTACACAATTTTAAGTATTCTTTACGCAAAATTCGTAACAGTGTTTTCATCAACGAAAATAATAGAGCATTAATAAAAGTATCAACCACGATGTAGCTTGCTTAACTATTATTTTTGTGTGCAATTCTTATCTTTTGTTCCTATTTTTTATTTCATGATGGAATATGAATGGAATTAAGAAGTTCCTGAAATTAAAAACAAATTTTATTTGCAGTCATGTGGACCTACGCTCTGTACAAAAATAAGATGTTCTGTATTCAATTTGACCAAGGATGAACAAGTAATCTTTACTATCAGATCTAGATTGTGGAAAAATACATTAGATGAGGTAAGATTTATTTAGTATTTTTATATATTGAACTGATTACTACGCAGTGTGTGCTATACTCACCAAACTTAATTGTATGGCTGATAGTTCAAGAACTAAAATTTTTGTCTATACGCCTTCGTAACCTCCGCTACCTCCCTTGTGAGTCGACTTCCACACACACATTTCTAATCTGTGGGTCGATTACTTCAAATCTTTATTTTATTGTCTATGATATCTCTTAACCCCTCAAGACAACAGTTGGATTGTCCATTCCCAAAAAAGCCGCTCTTAGTTGATCTCTACTCAACGAAAGAATCATTCATACCAAATTTCAAGTCTGTAAGTTTAATAGTTCCGAAGATCTTGTGATGAATGAGTGAATGAATAAACGTGCGTGAGTCGCTTTTCTTCTAAAAAAATTGAATATTTGATGGGAAAAAAACATCTATTTAATTCCATAAGATAAATTTTGGTTCTGTTATTATTTCATTAGCCACATTTCGCTTATCATTCTTATGCTCGAAACTGTTTCATACCGAAGTTTCCGCCAGCATACTTTTGAACTAATGTAGAAAACAATGAAGTTTTATAAGTTTTATTTATTTAAAATATCCTACTTTTTACGTTTATATAATAATCTTTTATGTATGATTCTAGGTACAACCGTGTGTTCTATTCTATTTGTATCATTCAATGATACAGATTATTAATATATTTAGATAAGAGGGTTTCGCGTCAGATTGACCACCTGACCGAAACATCTGTGCATGTACCCTCGCCTAAGGTCACGTAAACTGTTAAAGGCACAGTAGGCCTTGGCCCTCATAGGCTGTTGCGCCACTGAGTTCAGATAGAATTTAACCATATTATTCAACTTCAATAAGTATTTTAAGTATAGGGAGATTTATATATTATTAAATCAATTCAATAAACCAAAACTTTTCGTTATTGTTAATGTACCTTGTCATTTAAAGGGGATTAAATTGACATTTACGTCTATACATAAAACTTCCCAGTAACTGTTAAATAAAACTCGTTTTATTAAGAGTTCGTGAACTCAAAAAAGCGCATCATGAAAAACGAGAAAGTGATTCAAGATCAAGATTTCTGCTCCGCTTTTCTCTTTATGTATTGACCCAACTGATCAAACAGAGACTGAGAGTGGAAACTCCTATCTGCGTCATGCATCAAATCCAAAATGTCTACAAGGCGTATCAGATTTCATATCACTAACTTCATGGCACTCCGCTTATTATGTTACGTGCTTTATTGTATAACCTATGTATCATTCTGTGTGATAAATGCACACAAATTTCTGATGTATAAGATAAATTATTTAGAGTATACTTTAGAAGTTGAAACTATTAATCAGAGGAAGAAACTTAAGGTATAATTACGCAGTTTAATATTTATTTTTAAGAAATTACATACACACATTTTGAAACTTTCAGATCCCAATGAATGTGCGATGTACCGCTTACAAAGCTCATGTAACAAATATACTAAAACAAGTATTAAGAAAGGGGAAAAAATTAAATCAATTCCTACTTAGGTCAACTAAGAAAATTTTATTTTAGTTACTTTTTGTTAAATAGTTACAGTCAATATGAATATGTATATACATAGGACAGAATCCCAATATTAAGTGACAAGATCAAAAGCGATTTTCTTTGCAATTTTCCATTTTTCTTTCTATATAGGATGGTGAACTATTTTTTAAACTATTTATTCATTCATTAAATTTCATTATTCTAATAAAATAGTATATTAAAAAAGAAATAACTTTCTCAGGAATTAGGCGATCCCAGGTGAGATTCGAACCCACGATTTTTAGATTAGAAGTCCAACGCGCTACAGAGACACAACGAATGATTTTCCTTTCTATGTATGCTGTTTGACTGTTATTTTTGTTTGTTACTTTTTATTTCTTTTTTAAATTTAATGAACTAATAAATATTTGAAAAAACTGTATTACCATCGAGTGCCATCCACTACAAGCTTAAAAAGATGTATTGGAACTTGAATGGATGAATAGAAATTATTTTATTAACGACTGAAAATTTGAACAAGACGTATATATAGAAATAAATAAATATATATATAGGGAGAGAATGAACTATTAGTAGTAATTGAATAAATAATTAATGATTAAGATCGAACAACATTTGATGGTTTTATCCTGTCCTGAGTTATTAATATTCAAATATATAGATTAATAAATCAAAATTTATTTTTAGGTAAGTTGTAGATGAAATTTAGAAATTATAAAGAAGTGTTATGTTATATATACTGCATAATGTTATACTACTGCAGCATCATTTTTTAATATCCCTGCTCCAAGAAGCTTCCCTCCTGATCTTTTAAACATGTATAAAAAAATTAGAATGTTTTATAAAACTTACTTCTGGTAATTACACCTTTGATGAAAAAGTACCTGTTTTCCAAGAATTTTATTGATGGTTATAAGAAAGTTGTTCACCGTCTGAAGGGGAATTTTTCTCTCTTTCTTTTGGTGTTGATTTTCTTTTCTCAATTCCTACTATTAGCTCACCCTCTCCCTATACATATATATTAAGAGTGTTTTTTTTCCAGGTATAGAAGTTTAAGTTGGCATTACTTCCAAGATGGCAACCGATTTAACAGCTGTCAAGTGATTTATTCTCAGTTTGGTTTGGCAATTCATCAAAACGATCATCAAGCAAGGCGCAGATTCGTCGAATGGGCCCAAAACAAGATTGCCGTTGTTCCCGATTTTCATAAGCGAATTTTGTTTAGCGATGAAGCGCACTTCTGGTTGAATGGCTACGTCAACAAACAAAACTGCCGCATTTGGAGTGAAGCTAATTCACAAGTGTATATCGAAACACCGTTACATCCAGAAAAACTGACTGTTTGGTGCGCTTTATGGGCTGCTAGAATCCTTCTTCAAAAACGATGAAGGCCACAACGTTACAGTCAATGGTGATCAGTACAGAGCCATGATTACTAACTTTTTCATTCCTGAATTGAACAATCATGATGTCCTGGAGCTGTGGTTCCAACAAGACGGCGCAACATGTCACACAGGTCGTGCCACAATCGATTTATTGAAAGACACGTTTGGTGACCGCCTAATTTCACGTTTAGGACCTGTGAATTGGTCTCCAAGATCTTGTGATTTAACACCGCTAGACTATTTTCTGTGGGGCTATGTAAAGTCATTGGTCTATGCGGATAAGCCCCAAACGCTTGACCATTTGGAAGACAACATTCGCCGTGTTATTGCCGATATACGGCCACAAATGTTGGAAAAAGTCATCGAAAATTGGACGTCCAGATTGGACTACATCCGAGCCAGCCGTGGCAGTCCTATGCCAGAAATCATATTTAAAATGTAATGCCACAAGATTATCTTTCGAATTAAAAAAAATTCATGTCAATCGAATAATACATCGTTGTTTTATTGCAATTTAAATTTCTATACCTCTAAAAAAACACCCTTTATATATATATATATATATATATATATATATATATATATATATATATATATATATATATATATATATATATATATATATCTTGTTCAAATTTTCAATCGTTAATAAAATACTTTCTATTCATCCATTCAAGTTCAAATACATTTTTTTAAACGTAGTGGATGACACTTGATGTTAATACAGTTTTTTTCAAGTATTAATTCATTAATTAAATTAAAAATGAATAAATAACAACAAACAAAAATAATAGTCCAACAACATATATAGAAAGGAAAATCATTCGTTGTGTTCCTGTTACGCATGGGTGGGCAGACCTTTCCAGGGTACGGGCTACTTCTAATTTTTTCAAGGTGTTGCACTCCACCCAGGAGCGTAGGTTTAGGGAGCTAAAAGAAAGTATACAATACAGTCGGATCTCCATTTTACGAACCTGTATTTTCCGAATTTCTCTATTTAGCGAACTCTTTCCTGGAACTAGGAACATATTATGATTTTCTTTGTAAAATAACCTCCAAATAGCGTGGAGCATTTTCTATTCAACGAAATTTTCTATTATGATACAATTTTTTCCCCCGTGTTTACTCGAATCTATATAAGCCGCACTTTTTTCCAAATATTAATGCTATTGAAAATCGGGTGTGGCTTAGATTCGAAAGCAAAATTTTTTTGGATAGGGTATTTAAAGCAATTACAGACTCATGCATGTATTTATAATACTATAAAATAACTAATTACTTACTCCTTATTAGTTTTCCTTTTAAATTTGTTTTAATTTCGTAAAATTGGATATCGATAAACCATTTTAGAATATTTTTCGATTTTCGCAAAATCTTGTTGAAAATTTTGGGCACGGCTTATAATCGATGGTAGCTGAAATTCTATGATTATTAGGTCTTAGTGAAGGCGGTCACCCCAAAATGTCTTCACTATCCACCAGTCCATCGCGATCGACTTAATGCCTACCCCGGCTGTAACGCAATGGATAGCGCGTTGGACTTCTCATCCAAAAGTCGTGGGCTCGAATACCACCTGGGATGGCCTAATTTATTAGAACGTTGATTCTTTTTCTCCACTATATCAATAGAATAATTAAATTTAATTGATGTATAAATATATTAACAAACAAAAAAAGTCCAACACCCTATATAGAAAGGAAAATGGAAAATTACAAGGAAAATCTCTTTTTGGTTTGTCCCTTAACATTGTGATTCTGTCCTATGTATATACATATTTATATTAATTGTAACTATATAATAAAAAGTAACTAAATTAAAATATTTCTTTGTTGACCTATAAGTAGGAACTGACTTTAAAAAATATTTTTTATATTACTTGTTATTTTTTTTATACTTCGTTATACTTTTTTCAACGTGCTAATTAATTTGGATGAACAACTGCTTTTCTTTAAAGAGATTCTTCTTTCAATAGTACTATGCGAAACAATTCTTGTTTCTTTTTTGTCTTCCAAAAAAAGCAAGTAAATTGTTATCACAAAAATTTAAAATCAGTATATTAAAAAAGTTGCAGGATTTCCAGTCTTCTATTCCTTTTTTTTTCTTCTAATGATTAAAATGGAAAAGAAATAACTGTTTTTTTTTTAAAAAAATAAAAATAAATGTTTGGCAAAGAATCTTTGAAAATTTGTGAAACTATGTTAATATAAATACTTTTAAATAATTTGGTACATCATTTTAAATTCTGAGATTTAGTATCATAATTTATTACACTCCAAGTATTTCAGTAGCATAATTTATTACACTAAAGAAAAATACAGGGGAAAGTATATTTAGTGAATAAAGTAAAAGTTTTGCTATTTAATTTTCTATTTAAGTATTTTATTTCTGTTAAAATTAATAAAATTACGTCGCTTTATATCATTATATCTTATATAAATCCTCATTTTTTTCTTATAAGCCTACAAGGATATATATCCTCGTAAGTACTGTCAGATTAGTTACATTTGATTTATTCCTTTTATGTATTCCTCAATTACATAATTTTATTTTTCATATCATATACATATTTTTTTACCTTTAACTCTCTGTAGATGTGTAAAATTCAAACATTAATTTAGCTCTATTTTGGTAACAAGTGATTGCCTATTATATTGTTAATAGTACAGTAACCATAGATGTATTTTTTTTTTTAGTTTTCCTAAATTATTTATTTATTGCTTTTGATGTGTTTCTTGTGTCTATTTCGAAGTTCTATTATATTTCTGTTGAATGCATGTATCTTTCGACTCTTTTTCTGTTTTAATTTTATATTTAGTTTAGCTTTAGTTCACATGATATGGTTTATTTTAATATTGTTCTTTTCTGTGGGTTTCTCTCTCTAGCAAAATGCTTGCATTTTGTCGTAGTTTTTCCATCTTGTAGTGTATATTATCTAATAGTTTTCCTGATTTGGTTATTTTTATTTTCAGTTGGGACTAGATGACGTACAAATCTCTTCAAAGCTCGTCAGCCGTGTGACGTCACTTCCTCATGACGTAGATCCGTCTTTCCTCGGTTACAAAGCGTTATTTGTAAGTATACGAAAAAACGTCTTCTAAGAAACACATTAAATAAATTTGTATTATTTTTTATATCATTCATACATATCGACTAATTTTATTTTATATCTGCCTAACGATTTGTTTTTTGTTTCTACAAACAAATATGCAATCGTTTTGTTACCGAAATAATTTTCTGTACAAAATGTGGATTGTGTAAAAATAAAGGTTTTATTTTAATATTTTAGTGATACTGATACCATTTATAAATCAATTTTGTAGGATTTCTTTAAAAACATATATATATATATATATATATATATATATAATGCATGATGTAGGGGATGTAATAAATCAAAAGAATAATAGATAGGCTGAATATCCAAGCAAATGGAGAAACATGTTGTTTTCTAAAGCTTACACTGACTTAGGACAGTGAAGTTGGGTTAAGCCTAATTTATAGGACAGAACCCCTCTCCTTAAGCAGAAAATTTATGCGTAATATTGCAAGAAAAAATGAAGAACTAAAACCTGGATTAAAAATCGGATAGGGCTTAAAACTTGCAAGCGTAAACAAACAGTAAGCTGTTCATCAATAAGACTATTTTGAATGAATATTAAATGAAAATAGTAATATATATATGCGCTGCTTTACATATTCATTAGTACATCTAGATTTCCTTTGAAAATTGATCAAAAGTCGTTTTGTTACATGCGCATATTTGATGTCGATTCAATAGTTACAAAAGTAGAAAAAAGGCAAAATTTGCTACAATAAAGCAATTTTTATTGATTACTGAATGAAAAAAGCGTTATCCTGTCAAGAACATAAACGTCAATTAATAGCTTTACTCGGTCACTATATAGTCTTAAAAAATTCAATCTTCATAAAAAATTAACTTCCAATGTTTTCTTTTCACTTTTAACAAATAGAACAGTTAAAATTACCTCCAAAAGTCTAAAAAAGCTTAGTTACAGATATTACGAATATCTCATTCAAATGGAAACAAATATTTTTGTATGTAAGTTATTTGTAATTTTAAAATACAGTTGAACCTCCATATAACAAAGTCGCTAAATCCCGAAAAGAAGTTTGTTATGTGGAAAATTCGTTATATAGAGGCTCATCTTTCAATTTTCTTAAACCACATAAAGCAAATTTTAATTCAAAAACACTATATATTGAAAAAAGTAAATTTTTTTCATACATTTTGAAAACTAATAATATTTATTTTAAATATTTTACCTATCAGAAAAAAAGAAAAGAAAGAAAGAAAAACTGCAAGGAAAGTTTCTTAACGCCTTCATCCACTTCCTGAAGAATTAAATTTTTGGTCTTTGGTACTCAAGCACTTATGTTTTGACATTTCCGAGCTACAAGATTTGAAGATACCAGTATGATTGATCAATACTACAAATGAACAAAGACTAGTTCAAGGACACGGGGACACGAGAAAAGTCCACTGAGGGTGAAAGGGGATATCAAAGATGTTTCTAATGAACTGTACAATGGGAGATAAAAGTTGCATTTCTTGAATGAAATGCCCAGAATTCTATTGCTTTTAGGGAGTTAAGCCCCTAATAAAACCAGTTCATGATTTATGACCTCCATAAAATGTATTAAAAGAGAGAATAACTTGAAATGTCCAGAAATATTTTAATAATAGGGAGAAAAAAAATTGAATCGCAAGAGAAAAGGTTTGTTATATACAAAATGCACTTCACTATTGGGTGGCTATTTTACGAAGAAAATCGTGAAATGTTCTTGGTTCCAGGAAAAAGTTCGCTACATAGAAAAATTCGTAATATAGAGGTTCGTAATATGGAACATCGACTGTACTTCATTTCATGTGCGAAAAAAAAATACATGACTAAGTATATTCATACCACAAATCACACATAATTCTTCTGCTGATGGTAACATTCTTTCGTATTTTTTTGTATCAGGTTACTACTAAAGTAAATCCCGAGAGCGTAGCCCCTCAGCTACATATGGTGCCTTGGTGGATATTGATCTTATCAGTTTCAGTGGGACTCCTTATCCTAGGATTGCTGGCTCTTGTGCTTTGGCAGGTAAGCTTGCGCATTTCCAACCAATTACAGTATTTATTTCTATTCAATGGGCTAAATTCATGTGGGTCAAATGATAAATGTAATTAGTAGTTTTCTCTTGAATTCAAAGCTTCCTATTGTGACGATTTGTTAAAATTGACGAGTAACGTGAGACTTAAGAAATTAAATTACTTATTTATTACATCTACAGCTATTAATTACAATATTTACATTTAAATACAAGTTATTCAAATTACTGAGTATTTCAATACGACAGAATATATAACTTGGGATGGAGGATGACAAAACACAACAGGTCTTTTCAAGTGTTTCAAACTGTCTGCTTTCTCCCCTCTCTTGGGGTGAAGTGGTCCCTTCTTTCACCTCAAGGCTCGGCTCGTAGGTGGAGTACAGTTGTTGGTTTTTCATAGTCATCGGTTGTCGGCTTGATGTCAAATGAAAGGAGAAATTATATTTTAGAGGTGCACGTGTGGATATAAGCGGCGTTGTGTTATTTACATAGGAAGATCGATCTTGTAGCTGCGAGGCTGAAAAACGTTACACTATACCAGTGCTTCTCAAACTTTCAATACTGGCGCCCCTCTTTTCAATCACAATTGTTATCGCGCCCCCCCCCTTATACATAATAATTTACTGAATGCAATAATAATGCACTTTTACGATAAAGCAACAATATTTATTATAAACCGTACAAATTCATGACATAAGTATTAAATTTTGTATATGTTACTTTTAAGCAAAAAAGTTAAGTAATAGGATAATTACTAAGTTATTTTTCCTTTCTCTGATTTTTAAATTGGAACATATTACAAAATGCGGTGGTTGCTTAGAAGACAAAATATAGATATCAAGTAAATATAGAAGATGAACTCAGAGGGTCAATTTCTTATCTTAAAACTCCTTTCAAAAACTTTGCTCTGTAAGACAAGCCCATGGAAGTAGCTAATAATTATTAAACTTGTTCTTAATTTAGTATTAATTAATTAGTCATAAAATACTCTGTGCACCACTCATACATTAAAAGCAGTGTTTCTCAAACTTTCAATACTGGCGACCCAATTTTCAATCATAATTTTTGTCTCGCCCCCTGTACAACAATAATGTATTTACTGCAATAAAAATGCACTTTGAGAGAGAGACGCTAAAGTTACAATACGATCTTAATTATAAACCGTACAAATTAATACGATAAGTATATTAAATTTTGTGTATATTTTAAGTAATATATATTTTAAGAAAATTACTTAAAATATATATTACTTAGAATTATGTTATTTTTCTTTCTCTAATTTTTAAATTGGAACAGATCGCAAAATGATGTATTTAATTAAAGATTTATTTCCTTCAGCATTCATTTCTCAAAGTACAAATGTCATTAGAAAAATAGTCTAGTCAATGTCGCTCTCTATCATATCCATCACATCTGGCATTATAGGGTACGTTTGCGTGAGTCTGGGCAACCTATCGGAC